TCCTTACAAATAATGGTCACTCTTGGTTTTAGGTCAATGCTTTTGATCCTCTTAAAGAAAAATCCTTCCATTTTTATACTTTTTAGCATTTCTAACACAAATGTGACCTATATTTTGTCAAATACTTTTTCATTTGCTTATTATGGAGTGTTTGTTGATTTGACTATTACTGTATTGAGCTATGCTAATTATATTCCACATGTTGAATTATATTTGTATCCCTGCTATAAATCCAAGTGGGTCATAACAATTTTTTTTGTTATATTGTAGTATTCTCTTTGTTTAAAATGTCTTTCAAGTGTTTTGTTTTTTTTTATCAATATGCATTAGTGATATTGGGCATGGTTCTCTTTGGATTTATCCTTCCATGAGTTTGGTGTAAGGATCATATTTGTCTTAGAAAAGGAGTTTGAGGTAGTGCCCTTTTTCTCCTTTCCTCTTATGCTCCCACTCATCTTATAGTAGTAGTAATAGCAATAGCAACCACTAGCATTTGTATGGCGCCTGCTATATGCCAGGCACTGCACTAAGTGCTTTGCAAATATTATCTCATTTGATGCTTACAATAATCTCTGGAGGTAGGTGCTTTTATTATCTGTATTTAACAGTTGAAGAAACTGAGGCAGACAGATGAACACATCCTTAGGGTCACATATCTAGTAAGTGTCTGAAGCAGAATTTTAACTCAGGTCTTCTAGATTCGAGGCCCAGTGTTGTATCTACTGTTTCACCTAACTGGCATCTTGTACTTATGAAAGCAATTTTTTTTAACCCATAAGTGTAAGACTTTATTTTTCTCCTTGTTAAATTTGCATTAATTTGCTTCAGGCCAGGTATGCAGATTTCTTCTCAGATAAAATGAATAGATTCTAAGGAAGGGCTTGAGAAGATTTCAAAGGAATCAGGTTCTCACACTGTAGTAGTATCCAGGTTTTTGCAGCTCCATAACTTTCTTGGCTGGTTCTGATAGTTGAGTCAAATGTTCCTAAGATGGGCCTCCTTTTTAGGGTCTGCTTTGTATCTGGCCTTTCCCTGGGCTTTGTGGCTAGATTAAATTCAGTTCAGCCGACATTTATAAAGTGCCTACTATGTGCTAAATTGTCCTAGGTGCTGGTCATCCAAAAAAACACCGCAGCAAGCTCAGGTATTACATGTAACACAAGAAGGAGGGAGGGAAGGACAGTGCGTCATCAACAGGTGGTATGAGAGACAGCTTCACAGAGCAGAGAACATCTGAGCTGGTCCTTGGAGAACACCAAAAGGTGGAGATTGGAGGATGGCTTCTGGGGCCATTCTGGTTAGAAAGTGGAATACGTGAAAGGGAAGAGCGCGAAATAAGGCTGGGAAGGTAGGCTGGGGGTGGATTGTGGAAAGCTTTAAATGCCAGGCTAAGCAGTTTTATATCTTATGCCAGAGGCAATGGGAAGTCACTGACAACTTTTGAGTGGGAGACATAAAATGGCAGATCTATGCCTTAGGAAGATTCTTTAGCCCCTGTGGGAAAGATAGGTTGGCAAAAGGAAAGACTTGATGCGGGGAGCCCACATGGGAGGCTATTTGTGTATCAGGTCAGTTGAGAGGAACAAAGGGTAGTAGTTGCATGAGTGGAGGGAAGGAAATAGAGATGGAAGACCAGTGTCAGTGGAGTAGGTACAAGAGTTGGCAAGTGACCAAATGGGGAAAGCGAGGAAAGGGATGAGCCCGAGCTGCCTCCAGACCTCAGTAACTGGGGAGATGGCAGTACATTCAAAAGTCATATGAACTTAGGGAAGAGCCACAGGTTTGGCGGCAAAGGTAACAAGTTTCATTTTGGCCATGTTAAGATCACCTAATCAGTCAATAAGCACTTATTAAATACCTTTGTTCCAGACGGTATGCGATGTGATCTGTATACAAGGGCCAAAGTGAAACAGCCCCTGACCTCCAGAGCTTCGAGGCCATGTGGGCTGCTGGACTTGGAGCTCCAGAGTCACTTAGCTGCTGTACAGCTAGGTGGTACAGTGGGTAGAGTGCCCACACCTGGAGTCAGGAAGACTCATTTTCCTGAGTTCAAATCTGGCCTCAGACACATAGTAGCCGTGTGACCCTGGGCAAGTCACTTAACCCTGTTTGCCTTGGTTTCCTCATCTGTATGGAGAAGGAAATGGTAAACTACTCTAGTATCTTTACCAGGATAACCCCAAATGGGGTCATGGAGAGTTTGGATGTGACTGAAAAACAACTGAACAATAACAACAACAAAACAGAAATAAAAACAGCATCCGCCTTCCAGGGTTGTTGGGCAGGTCCGACGAGGTAATAGCTATGAAGCACTTGGCCAGCTTCATACAAGGCTTGTGTAGTGCCTTATGCGAGGCACTCTATAAATGTGATACATCATTATTCTGTTGAGAGTTAACACAAAATAGATAGAAAGATTATTGGGTGGGAAGGGCTAGCTCCCTCTCTATCACCTGGAATATTCAGAAAGGCTGCCTGTAAAAGGTGGCATTTGATCCATGTCTCTGAGGAAAGTAGGCCTTCTCAAAGGTAGAGAAGAGAAAGAAGTGTGTTCCAGGGCCCAGGCACCGAGCGGGAGCATGAAGAAGGCCAGGTGGCTCTGAGAATCTGTGAAGTGGACTAGCAGACGCCGTGCCTGTTCCTAGAGAACCACCAGGCCGGCGTAGTCAGACCTGCCCTTGAGCAGCGATGGATTGACAGGACGGGTTGGAGAGGGAGACACCATTCTACCCCTCGGTCTCAGTGCTGGCATGACCCCACTGTAATGGGCTGGCCACAAACCCGAAGCCCTCCAAACAAGGCCAACCCCACAATGCATTTGGGCAGATTGATGACTGTGATAGAGGAAGGTATTGCTGGTCATCCTCCCGCTTCTATCCAAGTAATGGTCTTTGAAGGCTCTCCCAAACACTCCATAGGGATTGTCTGTCTAACCCGAGTGAACTCGTCAGGAATCATGGCCAATCACTCAGCCAGTCAGTGGGCTTTTATTAAGAGGAGGGGGCCGTGACAGAGCCCATGTTTCTATCCATGCTCTAAGAGGACGGGGGATGGATGATCATCCTACAGGTAGGAGGAGGACTAGGAGAGAGCAGGGTCACAGATGCCAAGGGAGGAGCCAGCGTCCAATAGCATGAAATCTTAGCTACAGAGAAGCAGAGAACTGAGGGAAGACCTTTGAAAGAGATGGCAATTTCTAGGACAGTAGCTTGAAGGCTGAGCTGTAACTTCCAGGGGGCGCTTGGGTCACAAAGCACCAACGCCTGGAGGTGGCTCAGGTGTGGTACATTTTTCACTGTCCTCCCCACACCTTGCCTGACGTTCTTGGCTGGAACTCCAACCCCTCAGTGTCCCGTGACCCCAATGCCCACTTTTTTTTTTTTTTTTGGAGAGAAGATAATTCTATTGGTTCTGCTAACTCTTTCCAATTATCCCTTGTTGAATTAACTGAATGAGTAGGATGATGGCCTAATTGTGTAACTCCCGTAGAGGGGACAGAGACATTCTGGACTATTGTAGATTCCCAGGATTTTGAGTTTTCATTCATCTCCCGAGGCAAGGAAATGACAAGTGTTTTGAGACTCAAGCAGAAGAGAGACAACCCACATAGAGAAAGGCGGTGGCGGCATTTCTCCCCTCTTTTCAGCGGCAGTGGCAATGCCCACGTTTTGTAGGCCTCAGCTTTAGCCCCTTCCAAACCCAAAGGTGGGAGGGTCAGGCTGCCCCTCCTTCTGATACAGCTATAAATGTGCCAGAAATGCCATCCATGTGACCTTCTAACGGCTTTTATCCAACTGAAAATGTTCCTAGTTATGGCTCAGAGAAAAAGCTTTTTTTCAGGATGGGAAGGGTGGGAACAAAGGGTAAACCTGGACATGTTTGTATTGAGCAGGAAAAGAGCCAGTTAAATAGGAAGAGATTGAAGATATGAGTGAGTGAGAGAGAGAGAGAAGAAGGAGGAGGAGGAGGAGGAGGAGGAGGGATTCTCCTAGGGACAGTAGGATAGGGGACTGAAGGCACAGGTGAGGGTTTGGCCTTGGTGAAGAAAGACTGTGAACTCTCTTGTTCCCTTTTGAAAGATGTGTAAACAGTGCTAGAATGCATTATTGTCTTTGCACTGATGCTCAAGCTCCTCTAGGGAGGAGCTTTGTCCAAAATGGGAACTAATACCCAGAATTCTTAAATTGATCTGGAAATAAGTTTGTTCCGTTGCATTAAAAGTGTTTAATTAATCTATGATAATTTTTTGTTAATTATCAGGTAGATAAAAGTAATTGTTCTTAGCACCGGACATCTCGCTTGTCGCTCTACCATTATTAATAGCTCATAAAAATATTTAATCAATGCTAATCCATTACTTAAAAATATCACCAAGTCATTTTTCACCAACCTGGCTAATGTGGAAATATGTTTTGCATGATTTCACATGTATAAGTGATATGTTGTTTGCCTTCTCAGTTGGGGGGGGGGAGGTCCTAGAGGGAAGAAGAGAATTTGGAACTTAAAATTGTTTTAAAAATGTTAAAAATAATGGTTTTTTTTTAAGATCCCTAAAATTAAAAAGATTGTTTCATAAAAGACTATTATTATTCTTGCCACTCAGGAAAATTATGTTCCCTATCTGGTAATGTACTGGAATTTTGTAAATATTTTAAAAGCCTTACCTCATTGTTTATAACATGCCTATAAGTTTTGACAGGTAAACTTTTCACAGCTTCTGGAGAGACTAGGTCAGGATCACATGATAAATAGTGATATAAACAATATTATATCCCTTCCAATTGGCTCCTCCCTACAGAAGCATCACTGTGAATGCTGAAACAACAAGGTCTGTAGTTGGTCATTTGAATATTTGTTTTTGCACGTGTGGGTTTTCTGAGAAAAGGGGCCCCTTGGGGGAATCTGGAGATAGCATCTCTCAATTCTAAGAATGTCGAGGTTAAGTGGATCTTATCATGCTTGGTGCATTTAGTTCTCTTTTTGTTTATTTCTTCACACAGATTGATAGAACTCCATTCTCCTGATAGCAGAAATACTTTGATTCTTCGCTGCAAGGACACTGCCACCGCCCACTCGTGGTTCATAGCCATCCACACCAACATCATGGCTCTCCTCCCCCAGGTGCTGGCTGAACTCAATGCCATGCTTGGTGCTACCTGTGCAGCCGGAGGCAGCAAGGAGGTCAAACACATTGCCTGGCTGGCAGAACAGGTATGCTGAGATGTGGGACAGTGCTTGTTAATAGAGAGCTTTCTCATGCAGGATGAGGATTGTAAAACGGTCTATCCCAAGCACCTCTGGTATTAACATTAAGGCCAAACATTAGTTGTTCAAGGGATGATTTATCCAGTTTGGGATTACTTGTGCTCTTGGCTTCTCCTCCATCTCTAGCTGTCTGCCTGTTGTCTGTTTTCACTGTGTATTAGCATCTCTACCAGAAAGGTAAGCAAGGGTAAATGAAGACTTACTAATACATATTCTACTCAAGAACTGGTAGAGTGGAGAAAGACTATTTGTATCACATATCATCAGTAAAAACCTGGTATCCAAAATAGATAGGGAATCATCAAAAATATGCAACTTGAAGAGCCATTCCCAAGTAGGTAAATGATTAAAGGATGTGAACAAACAATTTGAAAAAAAAATTGCAAAATGTAAATTAAATCCTTAAAATATTCTCTAAATCACTAACAGAGAAATGTAAATTTTTTAAATCCTGAGGTTTCACCTTATTCTACAAAAATATGGGAGCAGGCAGAGATGGTGGGGCTGTGAGAAGACATGAATGCACACACACAGAGGCATTGTCGGTGGAGCAGCAAAGTTGTTCACTCCTTCTAGATTTTTCATTTGGGAATTGTACAAAAAAAGAGTGGCTAACCTATCCATACTCATTGATCTAGCAACCCCACCATATACTTCAAGGAAGTCAAAGACAATGTGTGTGTGCGTGCGTGTGTGTGTGTACACACACACCCCTCTCCCCCAAATATCCATAGCAGTTCTTGTTGTGATCACAAGGAACTAGAATCATGGTGGTTTCCCATTGGATTGGAGAAAAGCCAAAAACATGCTGCATGTGATATTATTATGCAATGAGAAATGAAGAATATGTGGAATTCTGGAGGAGAGTGTGGGAAGCAACTGGGATATAAAAACAAAAGGCATCAGTAAAACCTTTTTAAATATAAAGAGCGGATGCAGGGGAAATAACTTGAGATTTGGAGTCAGATGATCTGGGTGTCATGTACCACCCGGGCGCCTCCGGCAAGTCACTCCAGGTCTCCAGTTACTAAGCAGGTATGTGGGATTGAATGAGATGTCCTCTAAAGACATCCCCATCCCAGCTCTAAATCTATGACCCTGTGAGCCGTTTTTAATAAAAGCTGGCTGAGGGAAGTAATCAACATGGTAAGTTTGGGGGTTTGTTCGTTTATCAGTGCCATCTCAGGATTCAGTATCCAGGGTAAAGATTTCAGGGCTGTTTGCCCACTTTGGCTCACTTCTTTTATTTTAAAATGCATGTTGACATTTATTATTCCAGCCTGGAAAAATATCCCTTATCATATTTCACACAGCAAAAAAACACTTTAAAATTTTACTTGTCAAATAAATGATAATCTAAGCAAGACCTTACTTAAGGAATCTTGTCACAACAACTTCTTTTGGGTTCTGATCATTTTAAGGCCATTGGGCTGTAAAGAAATACCAACCAAGTATCTCTTTTTTTAATCTGAAAGTTGTTTTTCTGCAAGGTAGAATATGTTTGCTTGACTCAGGTGGTAACATTTGGAAAAGATGTCCTATTGAAATAGGCAGACTTTACATTTCTCATTATAATCAAGAGAGATGGAATGGTTGCTGCCTTCTTGAAGCTGTCCGTGGTTTTTCCACACATTTCAATAGAATGTCCCCGAGGCGTTATTGAGGGCATGAAGTCATCCGAATCCTTGGCTAAGCCAGGTGTCTTGGACAGTTGTCAAAGGAAGATCCAAACTCTGGAAACAAGTTTTTCATCCTTGAAAGGATGAAACAAGTTTCAAACAAGTATTTCATCCTTGACTGTTACGTACAGAGCCACGACCTGGTCTGTAGCATGCCACCAGTTTCTTTGCCTCCTAAGTGTTGACTGCTTGGGGAAGCTGGTCCAGTCCCTAGGGATACTGAAGATGACCGCTTGACTCACATCCGTCTCTGAATGAATTAAACGCCTTCATTTGGTACTCAGTCTTATCTGTGCTCCTTCTAGATCGTGATGAGAATATCCTTCCCTCCTCCATTAGTTCTGTGTCGGGAAGCCCTGGGGGTGTGGAATCAGGCCTCGGCGCTCCCCCAGCCTTGTAGATTCCCCCCGCATTTGGATCCAACCAGTCTTGAGCAAAGTTTCTGCTGGCAGCATTCATTTACAAAGAGCCAGGCTGGTCAGGATTCCGGAGTCCAGGCTAACTTGGATCATTCATTTTCCTAAAGAGTGAAACTTGATCTGAGCCTTAGCAATGTGAGCTGGCATAGCTGTTCTGCCAGAGGAAGTCTGCCGAGCCTCGGGAGGGATTGAGTGTGCTGGGTTCCTTCTCCGCTTCCTTTTGGATTAGTAAAGCGTCCCCTCTTCTCCTTTCCAAAAGCTTCTGTCAGCTTTTTGTGGTTCCTGAGATAGTGGAGCATAAAGTTTCAGTGCAGCCCCAAGACCTGTGCCAGATTTGTTCTCATGCTGAATTTCCAGTGTAGCCTGTGACCTCAGATACAGCCCTGTGGCCCTGGCCTGTCTCAGCAGGGCCTCCAGGTTTAGTGTGTTTTCTCCTATCCAGTCAGGGCCCAGGTCTGCTTCCTTTAGAGTTAGACCCATTGTTTTCTGTTTACTGTCAAGTAATCTTTGCATGGCCCAGTTTTCAGCAAACTTAATTTTTTCTGTTACATTTGTTGATTTGATTATTTTTCACATTCTTTTTTTTTTTTTTTAATTTTGACTTCCAAATTCTCTATCTCCCTCCAGCACCTCCCCCACCCATTGAGAAGGTAAGCAATATAGTATCAGACATTTATATTTAAAAATAAAGTTTTGGGAGCAGCTAGGTGGCGCAGTGGATAGAGCTCTGGCCTTGGAGTCAGGAGGACCTGAGTTCAGATCCGACCTCAGACACTTGACACTTACTAGCTGTGTGACCCTGGGCAAGTCACTTAACCCTGATTGCCTCACCAAAAAGCAAATAAATAAATAGATTTTTTTCTGGGCATCAAATATGGGGAGGGGAGGGCACTAAACAGGTTCTTCTAGACTCAGTGACTTGTGAAAGGTTGTTTCCTGTCATGATTACCAGAGGATTCTGAAGCTCCTTGTTAGTTTTCATTGTTAGTATGTCATCGCTAACTTCACCAAGTAGAATAACCTTCTGGCATAACTGCTATTGATAACATGCAAAGAATGCAAAAAAAACCCCACAAAGGTGAACTTTTAAAGGATGTGATGCTGATGGGTGCACGCGTGGATTGTCAAGCCTTTTTGTATCTCTAGGGGAAGTTTTTGTTGGAGATGTTTGGGTCCTTCCTCTTTTACCAGGAACACAATTCTTGGGAACCAAATTCCCCTTCTCACGTGGGTTTCTTTCCCTGTCTTTTGAGTATTAGTCCAAATACCAGTTCTTCTGGTAATTACCTTCATCTGTGCAGTCACTCTATTCTTTAGCTTATGTGCCGAATTGTCTAACCCAGGCCTGCACAACCTGCAATCCCTGGGCTCTTTCTGGCATACCAAAGGATTTCCTCTACATTTTTCTGTGGCCACTGGAAATCCTTTGGCATGCTGCAAGCGACCAGCAGGCCAGATTGTGCAGGCCTAGTCTAACTACTTGATTCAGTCATATTGTATGGGTATAAGTGGTCTCCAATGCAAAACCATATGAATGAATGATTCAATAAAACATTTATTAAATGCTTACGATGTGCAAAGCACAATGCCAAGTGCTGGAGATACAAATAGAACAGTCAGACAGTGCCTGCTCTCAAGGAGCTTACATTTTAAAGAGGGAGACAAACAAATATGGAAGATTTCAACTGCAAGTCAGATGGAAGGTCCCATGTTCCTTAGCGGGCAACAGTGAAGCAATGGCAATATCTCTTTTAAAAATATTTTCAATCAGCAAAAATCTGCCTTCTCACCCCCCTTCCAAATGGAGAAATGATTTTTTTTTAAAATTCCTGTCACAAACATATAGTTGAATAAAACAAATTCCTGCACTGACCATGTCCAAAAAAAAGTGTTTCTGTTTTTTGTTGTTTGGTTGTTTTTTTTTTTTTTAGTGAAGCAGTTGGGGTTAAGTGACTTGCCCAGAGTCACACAGCTAGTAAGTGTTATGTGTCTAAGACCAGATTTGAACTCAGGTCCTCCTGACTCTAAGACAAGTACTGTATGCACTGCACCACCTAGCTGCCCCAAAAAGAGTGTTTCTGCACTTTGACTCTTTCACCTCTCTGTAAAGAGATAGGTCTTCTGTCCTTTAGAATGCCTAAGTTTTTCCAAGTTGTTGTCTTTACAATATTGTTATTGTGTGAATTGTTCTCTTGGTTCTGCACACTTCACTTTGCATCAGTTCATGTAAGTCTTCCCATGTTTCTCTGAAACCATTCCCTTTGCCATTTCTGCAGCACAGTAGTATCTCATCACATTCATATACCATCATTTGTTCTGCCATTCCCCAGTGAATGGGCACCCACCTCCCCTTAGTTTTCAGGTCTTTCCTGCCACAAAAAAGGGTTATATATATATTTTGTACATTTTTAGAGTTCCACTTTGCTGGGAATTAATCCGTCTGTTAATCTCCCCTCCCTCCCACTCCCTTCTCCTTTAATTCCTTTCCTTATTTCCCTGTTGAGTGAAATTTCTGACCCCAGGTGTGTGTTTGTGGTCTTCCCTCTTCCGATTCGTTCCGATGAGAGCGAGGTTCAAGCGTCACCCCCGTCTCCACCCTGTTTGGTGTTTGTATAGACTTCTACTTGTGCACTCAATTGTGAGATAATTTTCCTTTCCCCACCCCTACATTCATTTTCCCATCCCTTTACATTCTTCTTTTATCATCACGATAAAACAACCATTCCCAGACCTCACATCTATTTTGATGGAGGCTCTTTTGTGACTCAGAGTTCAGAGGAGACACACATATCAGCTCCCCATGTTAAAATTAAGCAGTTTGTCCTTGTTTAGCCTTATGATTGCCCAT